TGCTCACTCACCAACGCAAAAAAATATTTGTCCGATCGACTTCTTTTAGAAACTTCTTTTTCATTCTTTAACTAATAGTCAATCATCCTATGTAAATCTAAAAAATTAAATAAAAATTAATATTAACAATTTTTTTGCATAAACGGCTGCTACCTAATAAAAATCGTAATTTTTTTCTTCAAAGTCGTACATAATTGTAATTTATATAGATTTAAAAAAAATTTTTTAGTATAATATTCTATACAAATTAAAAATCTTTTTTTATTTAATATAGTAAATTGAAGAACTTTTATAATAAAAAATAAAGTTAATGTATCGACAGGGCAATAAGAGTTAAATAAGTATCAAATTAAAATTAAAAAGTAACATATGTTGAAGAAAAAAAAAACAATTATTTTGCACTTTACAAATATTCAAACTTTGCTTTTTTGGTTTTTTTTGCTTCAGAGAAGAATTATAGCCGCTAAGATGAACACAAAATTGTTACGTCGTGGCGAACCGCCAAATTAAATGTTTATGTTTTTATTATTTAGAATATTTTTTTTCACAAAAATTTGTACGTATTCTACAATAATTATATTAGAATTTGCAAAATGTTTGAAATCAATAAACATTAATCTTCCTTATGAAACAAAATTATGAAAAATCACCTTGTTTTCAGCTTCCTAATGTAGGAGATCCCCTTAACATGTCACTCATTTTAAATTGGTCTCTCTCTCTTTACGAACGGTTAGCGAATTTTGACACAGTACTAAGATTTTTATTAAAATGTACTGCGGAATTTATCTTATAAATTTCTCGTGTCTGGCTCCTTGGGATGAATTATTTTTATGAGACTTGTCTCCTCTTATTTAATAATTATTCATTATCTTATATTTTTTTATATTTTAATTTTTTAATTTTTAATTATTTTATCTATATTTGTTTTATCTGTAACAGTATAAAATAACGAAATCAATCTCGTTTGTTGTGACTTGTACTGGAATTATCAATCACGTGCAATGACAACTCGTGATGACTGGTAGAGTTCTCTCGTCAAAGATTCAACTTGATCTATGTAATTTGTGGATTATTGCTGAAGATGACTCGAACGTGAGTCAAAACGTCTAAATATATTGAAGATTTACATAAAAATTGCGCAACGCTTACAGCGCTTTACTCTCATTAGTCTATTTCTTCATCTTTTAATTTTTTTTTCAATAAAGTACATATTTTTATCAGGGTTGCAAGTAATTAATTATTTTTTAAATTAAATTACGCGTTTAATTAACAATTGAAACGATCGAATTCAATTAAATATAATTCAATTGATAATTGTTTTAAGTACATTTAATTAAAACTTTTCGATTGACGATTAATTTAAGTAGAGTTAATTAAAACATTTAATTGACAATTGAAATGATCGAATTCAATTGACGATTGGTTTAAGCAAATTTAATTAAAACATTTCGATAGAAGATTGATTCAAGCGGAGTTAATTGACAATTGAAATGATCGAATTCAATTGAATATCCCAGATAGCAAGTTTTCCAAATAGCATGTTGCTATAAATTTAATACAAATTTATTTGCTTATAATTTTGCTTATAATAATAGCGGTAATATATACCGTAAATGGTTGTGCACAACCGGAGAGAAACAATTTCCCTCTTTTTTTATAAGTTAGGATAATCGCACGGCAATATGATGGAAACTAATTCTACATAAAACAAATTTGCTAGCAATTTGACAATAATATAAAAGAAACTATTGTAGTAAAAAGGGTTAATCTCTAACAATGTTTTCCTGTTTAAAATTGACTCAAAAGAGAACTTTAAGATATCTTTAAGAGTTCTTTAAGAAACATCTTTAAAATATTTCATAAAGAACTCTGAAAGATATCTTAAAGTGACTTATAAGTTGATTTTAGACATTTTACTCATTTGGTTGACAGGTGTAAGTTACTATGAACAAAATTACAATACAGAATAAAATATATATTAAAGTATTAGGAGATTTTATTTAGTCGGTAAACATTTAAAAACAAGTATTATATCATTTATCTTAGAGCCCTTGGAGCTTACTTCAAAAAATTATCCTATTAAAACACCGCTGAAAAATCTTCTAATGCTGCGTCTTTTATTCTATTCTACGTTGTTTTTTAAAATCGAGAAATTTAACTCGATGCATTCTTCTGGTGGCGGTACCGCATACTGCTCGACGACACTCCATTTCCATTCGATCGGCAAAAATGTGTACTAAATATTTTACAAAAACGATTTCCAACAGATTGTAGCAACATTTAAGAGAATAAATTTGTTACAGCATTTCTGCTCGTTTGCGCAAACAACCGTTGTCCGTATAATGCCTCTAAGTTGACCTAAACAAAATTATTATTGCCCTGGTGACAGCAACATGATGACAAATTGAAGAGAAACTGTTGCTAAACACCTATTTCTTTTCTTATGCCAAGGAACATTTTGTCATCTGGAATGATTCAATTGATGATTGTTTTAAATACATTAAATTAAAACTTTTCGATTGACGATTAATTCAAGCAGACTTAATTAAAAAACGTTTAATTGACAATTGAAATAGGCGAATTCAATTGAACACCATTCAATTGACGATTGATTCACAAGCAAAATCAATTACAAGACATTTAATTGAAAATTGAAATGAGCGAATTCAATTGAACATCATTCAATTGAGGATTGATTTAAGCAAATTTAATTCAAATTCGTTTAATTGATACTCGTTTAATTGACTATTGAATCATTAACCGATGATTAGGATGACAGGCAGAGCAGATATGCGTTTATTTGACGATTTTTAGAAATTAATATCTCGTTTATTATTACAAAAATTGTAAAATGGTAATTTTTTTATTCAATTTAGTCCGCTTTAACTAATGAGAAGTCATTCTCAAATATCCTGTATGTATATACCTATATACACTATTCAACAAAATTGAAGGACCTGTTTTATCGTGCAAAAATAAGCAAATTTCAATATAGAATAAGTTCGTTAAAAATTATCGTATCAAGATATTTAGAGAAGCATTGTACAGCTTTCAACTTCTACTTCTCAGATCAATGTTAATATGGTGTCTTATTGATATTTTATAGAGTTACACAAACATAAATGAAGATCAAATCTCAACATTTTTTTACGAAATTTGTGAAGTTCCATGGCGCAAATTGGATATTGTACACAAACACATGTACGAGTAGTTTACATCATTCGAAAGAGTGAATCTTTATCTTTAATTTGCTTTTTTATTGACCTCTGTACGATTTTTTTTTCATTGTATTATTGAATATTGAAGCCAAAAAGAGTCGTTTTTTATTCAACGTTGAATTACTCGGAAAAAAAACGTACAGAGATCAGTAAAAAAACAAATTAAAGGTAAAGATTCACTCTTCCGAATGATGTAAACCGTATTTGTATACAATTTTTAATTCGGGACGTGGAACTTCGCAAATTTCGTAAAAAATGTTGAGATTTGATCTTCATTTATGTTTGTGTAATTCCGTAAAATATCAATAAGACCGTATTTTAAAGTACTGATCTGAAAAGTAGAGATTGAAAGCTGTAAAATGCTTTTTTAAACATCTCGATATGGTACTGTTTTACGAAGTTATACTATCTTAAAATTTGCTTATTTTTGCAGGTGGAACATGATCCTTAAATTTTGTTGAGTAGTGTAGATACATATGCATATATATATATATATTGTAAATTATAGACATATAAATATTAATGAAATATCTATCATTATAGTTTTTAAATTGAATTGCCCTATCTGCCAAATTTTAAAGAGGTACATCGTCAAATAAGTGCGTTCTTTTCTAAATGAGGACTACCTCCATTTCTCGAATGCACAGTCTAGAGATACTATGTCTATATTTTTTACCAGCTGGTGGTTTTTAATGTCATCACAAAATAAAAAGGAAGAGATGAAACTCGGGAATGAAGACCTGTTTTATCTAGGATGCATTCGCTTTTCAAATTCACTAAAGTCACTAGATTTATAAAGTATCGCAATTAATTTCTGAAATGTTGCGTCAATGTGGTGGAAGTGTACATAGTACACGATTTCTCAAATACATAACCGTGCAAAATTTTTGTAGACATTTATCGGCGTCTGCTCTTTTTTGCTCGAGAATGTTGAGATTATTTCACGTGTGTTTCATATTTTAAATTGTACTTACATGTATCCTATATGTGCACTTTTATGCACTAAACTTTTGCACAAATAAACGTGTCATGTGTCAGTAGTAGTCGTATCTGATAAAATCAGTGTTATCAAAATTAATATGGCTGTATACGGTGTGATCGATCAATCGTCAATTGAATGATGTTTAATTGAAATCGCTCATTTCAATTTTCAATTAAACGTCTTTTAATGAACTCCGCTTGAATCAATCGTCAATCGAAAAGTTTTAATTGAATTTGCTTAAATCAATCATCAATTGAATGATGTTCAATTTAATTCACATATTTCAATTTTTAATTAAACATCTTTTATTAATTCCGCCTGAATCAATCGTCAATCAAAAAATTTTAATTAAATTTACTTAAATCAATCATCAATTGAATAAAATTCGCTCATTTTAATTTTTAATTGTACATCTTTTAATTATTTTTATTTTCGTTAATTATTAAAAACTAATTATTAAATTTTAAAAACTGTAATTAATAAAATGAACAACCCTGATTTTCACACACTAACAATCTATGTTAACTCTAAAAGGTTTTTTTTTATTTTATTGATTTATTCATTACAGCCTAATTTGAATTATTTGAAATGTATTTTCAGATCACGGATGAATACGGAAATCCAATTCCATTGTCCATTCAAGAAGCTCGACAGCTTCTCTCTCAAGGACATTTTATCAGTCAATTGAACGACAGTCAGATTATTAGAGTTCATCCTGGAATGTTTGCGCAACAACTCCAAACCTTAAATATTCATGTCGATGAAGATACTATAGACGAAAGCGGAATCACGATGCGTCCGAATATGACCAAGAACGAGACGATATCGACAATTCAAGCAGATGCAGAAGCAATCGTCCAGGCGCTTGAGGTAATTTCTAGTATAAATAATAATAATTAATATAGCGCAGCTTCATCTCTTGTAAGACCCGATACCTACTGCTAGACACAATTAGAATCATGGCACACAGAAACTTAAAGTAGTAAAATGTAAGCAGTAATGAAAAGTTGGATTGGCTACTATTTACGTTATGGCCTTATGGTTTTTTACTGTGATTGATCAATTCGCTTACTGCTTACGTTTTACTGTTCAAATATTTTTACGTGCCATGGCCCTTACTGCTTTGTTTTACTTTTCACACTGATTTCACTCGTAACACACATACAAATGGAATTTTTATATTTTTCATTCTCTTATACTAAAGCCTCTAACTCATTTCTACAAGCATATTAATTTTTCATATAATTTCTAGTGCGATCTAAGTTTATTTAACGTACAAAGTCTAAAACTCTTATATGTAACATATGCTGTCACGAATCGATTGCAGAAATTGGTCACAAAATTTTTCAATTTTCTTTCGTTGTTTGTATGAAATTATTGACTTAGTTTGTTAATACCTTAATTGTGGCAAAAAATTTTTAAATCTGGTATAAATACAATTAAAAGATTGGAGGATCTGAAAAGTAACATAACATTTGATGATTAAAACATCAGGATAACTTCAGCATCCCTTTAAGAGAATCCTAAAGACAATTAGTCATTGAAAATAGCACTTACACACGGACGATTTACGTGTCATTGACACATCACTATATGAATATCTTACTCATGCACGCCACATACCATACACATAAATCTTCGTATAACAATTACGTTTTAATTAGATGTCTAAGTTCAATTTTTAGAACTTCATACTGTTTCTTTAAACTACTAATCTGTGAATTACTATTTCGTAAGTACAAATTGCACAGCTTTTATATGAAGCAAATGTTGACACGACGTGACAGCTTTGGAGCGCTATATTGGACTAAGAAATGGTAAAGAAGAGTAATCAATTTCGAAATTTTTTGTCATTTTCAGCATTGAATTCATAGACACGTATTAATGCGTGTATTTTAATCTTAGAAAAGGATTATCAAATCAGTAAGAGAGGAAAAAAGTAATTGTTATACAAAAAGTATATTATTAATTAGGGCATCCTACAGATATAGTATTGGTAGTGCAAATAGTACAGACATATCCTGACAAGTAAAAGTTAAAGCATATAACGGTCAAAGCTGGATCTTAAATGCTTAAATAATTGCCATATGAAGTTATATACTACATATGTAGTCATTTGAATTGTACGTCGAATTGGTCTTTTGGACTTAACTGAACTACTGTAGCAACTGAACTATTATAGCAATATCACAAATTAAATTGACAAGCAATTTAATAATTTGATGCTCAATCAGGTATCTTATTAGAGAGATATTAATATACTGAAAATCTATAAATAAATTTTTATTGTGAAAAATACGGATAATATTACCGTGTATGTTTCCGTTACGTTGTAACTGAAACATGTGTTTTTCATAAAAGATTTATATTGAATATCCGTTGATTACTATAAATTTGATTGATTTTACATAGAAACATAGAATAACAAATATTAAAATAAAAAAGGAGAGGAAAAAGGAAGTGTCGACGAAGACTTAAACCAGCGAACCAGCGGTTACTAGACAAGGCCGCTACCCGTTGCGCCACTCATTGAAATTTACTCAACGTTTAATGTACATACACCGGAATTTTTCAAAGTCTATTTTCTCGACAATGGTTAAGAAGCGCATTTTACTGCTTGGCCAAAGTAATATCTGGGTAATACACTTTACGTACCATAAGTTTCAAATTTTTAAAAATTTCGAACGTCTGAATTTAGAACTCCTCTCCTTATGAAATTATTGTAAGATTAAAAGCTTAAAGAGAAAGATTTATATCGATCTGCAAATTACGTATATACGAATGCTGAGCAAAGGCTCGCAATGGTAAACAAAGCAGTAGTTGTGTCTAGCAGTAGGTGTTCGATCTTGCAAGAGATGGCTCTGCAATATATTATATAAGGATAGATGCATGCATTTCAGTGAGATAGAATAATGAAAGAAATGAATAAAATATTATTATCGACTTTTTTTATCTGGAAAAAATTTAAAAAATCTATACTATTAATATCGATCAAGTTCGGCCATCACTCCAGCATCCCCTTAACTCTTTGTGATAACTTAATCTTTGGGTTGAGTAAAATAACACAATTTTGTGATTTAGTATTGTTGCGAGGATATCGCTGATGAAGGCAAGAAAAGCTTCTAACGAATTCGCTATTTTATTCTGGAGCTCTTTTTACACGTCTTTAATCGCAACAATTGCACGACTCCCTGACCTCGCAATTCTTAGGTCGGTCGCTCGTATCTTTCTCAAATTTTTCGTGAAATGTTATTATTGTTCGTCCTTGTTATCTACAGTTATTGAAAACGGTTTTGCTTAAATCCGCAAAGTATAAGTTACAAATGTACATACTTCAATTTTCCAATCTGTTTTGTGTTTGTGACGCTGGTGTCACCTTGTATGGAAAGCTCGCTCGCCAAGGCGTGTAATAACGATGACTCTCTTGGTTGTAATAATTTGAATTTTATTATTGAGTCGAATTAAGATTTTTTTTGAAGCGGGCGGTAGGTGATACTTGTAATCCGATAATTGATGCGTTCGGTTAGATGCGGCCACAGGTAATTCGTACTTGGTACGACGTTGAGTAATTTCTCGCAGTCGTTAAAAAGAATGTGTATGGCGAGCAGCAACGAGACCGGCAAATCTCGTCGGAAACTCAGGTAATTCTTGTACAATGCCCTCGCGGTATGCGTATACCGGTAACGTTACGTGACACAATACAGCGGTGATACGCGACGACAAGTCAGTTTGGTTCGCAATTAACGTTCAGAATAAGATTCGTTAAAAACGAATATCAATGGATGATTTGTATTGATCGGGATCGGGAAGCGAACTGAACTTTCGCACGCGGAACATGTGCGCGATAGTCAGCTTTTCGGGTGTCACGCAAAGGGGGTCGCATGCCATCTGAGATAGATAACGTGATTAGAACAGGAGCGAGACTCATGTTTTGAACGGTGACGGTGTCGATGAGCTGTTTACTTGCCATCCCCGAGAATATATTTAAATTAACGATGATTCCGGAACATAATCGTTATAGCCCAAATTATAAGAGCTAAAATTACAAGGCGTTTCTAGCATATATTGCGTGCTGATACATAGTAGAGATAGTTTTTGTAACCAACAAAAAATTAAGGCATTTAAACGGCCTCTGTCTAAATCTCATCTCGTTGTCGCATATACAAGCGATGTTATTGTATATGTGTGCCTATATATGTATGTATTACGTATCTGAGCTCCAACAACTGATTCCTTTGTTCGTGCAACTATTTATAGTTCGAAATTCTTTACATTCAGCCGAATTCATGATGTTTAAATGTGTGATTGCAGCAACGCGATCGCCACAGTGATATAAAATTTTAAAGAAAATTAAATAATTACTAATATACTTGGAATAAACAAAATTTCGAATAAACATACTCGAGTTTTTTTTTTTTTTTTTTAATTAAAGAGTTAACTACATCTCTCTATCTCTTTTTCTCTCCTCATTGGAATTTATTTTTTAAAAGTAGTTTTATGTAATTAGTGCAATTTAAATGCTTTATATAACTTTTGGAAGTACATATGTATTTTTTTTAGAATTCAACTTGGCGTCAGTTATTATCACATCGGATATCATATCTTTTATAAATAATATATGTCATTTGATTTTTTAAATTTGATGTTACAGTTTTTTATTCGAGCAATGTATTATATCTATATTTGCCGCCTTTTTTTTCTTTAAAAAATACATATTACTTTAATTCTTTTTAATTTGGTACGATTTTTTGTTTGCGCAGCGTAACTATGTATAAGTAATACGTTATGTATTTTTTATTATTCCCATCCAAGTAATAGTAGTTTTGATTCTTCTTCCCCTTACGTACGTTAGACCTCTGGTCTGTCTTACATCTTTCTCATATGTTTGTGGTGCGTACGCTGATTATTATTCAATTGCCACAAACATATGGGACCTATAATATTACTTTTAATATCGGTTCCGAACGGTAAATTCTTTTGTGTTTCTATGGGCAACGATACTTTCGGGAGGTTGCCTTTTCCGAGAGGAGACACGAACGTAAATATTTTGGTTCCAACTAGGATCGGATCTTTTGAATGATCAGTATGTTGTTTATCATATGACGCTTGCACTCAAAGTTTTGATTATTCTACAAAAATGTTTTCATCGAAGGCTTTTCTCCAATTCAAATAATAGCAGCTTTCATTCTCTCAAAAAATATTCCTTATTGCTCCTCGAAAAATAGAAATGACCATTGTCTTGATATTTTTTCTGATATTTTTACTTCTTTCGATTGAGTCGTGCACTCCTTAGAAGGAGATGAAGCGACTCCCACCCCATCTCCATCCCTACTTGGCGGCGCGCGACTTTTATCTAAAGCGACTCTCCCACCTCACCTCCACCTCTGCTTGGGGGCGCGCGACTTTCATCTTCCCCTGTCAAGGGAAAATATTGTTGAAGTACTTTACGTTAAAAATTGTGCGTTTTTACAAAAATTGTTTTGTTCGTAACTTTTTAATGAATATTGAGCGACGGAAAAAGTCAATGACCTTGATCTTCTTTAGGGAGGGTCCTAGATGTGCACAAAAATAATCGGACACAGTTTCAATTAGACACGGATTGAATGGACACACGATGAACCCAATCGGACACAGATAGAAAGGAACATATGATAGCTCTTATCGGGCACAATTCCAATCGGATACAAGTTGAAACGGAAACACGACGGTCTCAATCAGACACAGTTCTAGTCGGACACAAGTTAAAACGGATACATGACGATCCCAATCGGACACAAGTTGAAACGGACACACGACAACTATTGAGGTTAGGAAATCTGTCATGTGAACAGTGCATAAGCTCATGGCATATACAAAAACCTAAGACGTAATCAGTAAGCGAATTATCCAATCACGGTAGAGACCATAAGGTTAATAGCGAATCCAATGTTATGATTTCCTTCCCGTTAGTTCTTAGGGTCTTACGTTTTTGTATGTATCATGGGCTGTAGACGGTGCTTGGAATATTTTTCAAAAAAACCTCACCCTAACTAATCCATTTTTTGTGAGGTGGCCCTCATTTTGCGTAGAAGAATCCATGTCGTTTTGTGTTAAAAAATCTTAATCAAAAACATTTTTTACTTTCGCGTGGAAAGTTGTACATTCAAGAAGTAAAGTTCTACTAGGTTTACAATCTTCCACGCATAAAACAATGGGTTGATTAGGATTAGGTTTTGGAAAAATATTCTAAGCGGACATTGACTACGCCATCCCGAATCAATAAGTATTACTGTCTATACACCCCATTGTTTACACGACAGATTCTTAACCTCAATAATTATCATGTTATCTATTTCAACTTGTGTCCGATTGAGACCGTCGTGTGTCCGTTTCAACTTGTGTCCGATGGAAACTGTTGTATGTTCCCTTCTATCTGTATCCGATTGGATCCATCGTGTGTCAATCAATCCTTGTCCGATTGCGACTGTGTCCGATTATTTTTGTGCGCATCTGAGATTTTCCCCCTTTAGAGTCAAGGTCAAGACTCGGAAATCATTTGGGGCTGACTGTGTTTTCAAGAGAAAGTTTTAATTTAGTATTTTTACCAATATTTTAATTTAAATCTTTTTATTAATCCAAATAATGGCAGCTTTAATATTCTCTATCAAAAGTTATTACTTCTTGAAAAAAACTGTTATACCATTTGTACCAAATTAAAAATTAAAAGATGTGTGTGCGTGCGTGAGTGGGTGCTGTCTTTATTAAGTTAAATTTCATTAAAAAAGTATATAAAAAAAATCCGAATGATACTATCTGTATTATTTACTTAACTCTAGTGATTCACTATCATTTGTTTAAAAGATTTGATATCAACAACTGGCGCCAAGTTAAATTCTACAAAATTTTATGTATCATTTATATATTATAAAATATTTAATATCAATAACTAGCGTCAAGTTAAACTTCATGATAAAGTAGATAAAGAATACATGTGTGAATATAATCCAAGTGGGACTATCTTTAATTTGTATATAATGAAATCTAAGTATATATATTATATTTGTATTTCTATTGAAGGATTTTCCAATGTGTGGATTTAATTCTTTAATTCTTTTTAAAAGAAATTATATCACAATTTATTCAAAGACATTTCTTTTCTAATCAAAGTAGTAGTTTAATTCTGCGTCAAAACATTATTATATTACAAAATCGCGTTATTTTGCTCAGTTTAGGTGTTATCAAAAATTGAAGAAGTAACAGTATAAAATTAATGCTTGGCAAAAAGAACTAGGTAACATTGCAAATTGACACTTGCCCGCTTGTCAATCATTTATTGCATATGAGTGAAGACCGAATCTGCGGATACCAGTATCACAGGGGTATGACGCGTATCATACAGATGCTCACTTTATAGTTTATATAAATACCCGCATTGCATGGATATTCGCATGAAACGACTAATACATCATATATTATGAATAATTTAATATAATGAAATAACTAACACATAGAAATATTGAAAAATTTATAAATTGTATAAAATAATTGTTATAATACACATTTTACTACGAAATTTGTGAAGATAAGATAGATATTGATTAAACAATTTTACAAAAGAGAAAAAAATAATTAAACAGAAAATTACACAAAAACTGTCGGCAAAGAACTCATACCCTGAAAAAAGTTTTATATCAGAACATATACAAATATTAATAAACAAATATTAATAAATATATAAATATGTATACAATTACAAGACATGTGTCCATTATATGTATATTCATATTAATTTCTTTCTTTTGAAACATTTCGGTCTGACACAAAAATTAATAATAATGAGAAAACATGAAAAAATTGAAAGAACAATTTTTACAATTCACTGTTACCAGAATCAAGTTTCAAAAAATGAGAAAAAATTGCCATATATATTTAAAACAAATTAAACAAAGACGTGGTTTATTTCGAGCTTATAATTAGATTGACTTTAAATTAATATAATTAACATAAGAATATAAATACTATATAATAATCTAAATATAATTAAGAAAATAATATAAAATTACAAGTATTTTGGCTTACAAATCCTTCTTCAGTACAAAGCAAAAATACATTATTAAATTAACGAACCAATTAGATAGCGCATATAATGAAATATTAAAAAAAAATCATCAGTGGTAATGTGTCAATTCATATAAAATTCGAATGTCAAATTGTGTTAAGATAGATATATTATATAAAATAAGAAGAATAAAATACTTCAGTCAAAAGTAGATTAACATGATGTTCTCCGATAAAAATAATTTTGTCAAATTTTTCGAATTGAAAACGGGAATCCGTTTATCGCAGACTTGAATCAATTGATTTGAGAGTTCAATTATTACGAATATTTTATGATATTCTGTAAAACGAGAAGAAGTATTAAAATAATATAATTAGTGTGAATAAGAAATACAGAATCAAATTATAACTCACGTTAATTTATCTAAAATATTATCTTAAAAATCTCAATCGAAGATCTGGTCAAGTATATTAAAATTAGAAGTTGTCTATTACTTGTTTGAAAATTGACTGATGTGATATGTAGGTCAAATAAAAGTAAGTCAATAAAATCGAATGTAAAAACAAGTCTGTTCAAAACTATGACAATTTATGTTCACGTATATCGTTCAATATGTTGGTCCAAAATAAGAGGTGTCCAATAAATCAGTATCTTTCATTAAATTTAAATCGTTTTTTCTTTAATATGAATCATTTTAAAAAGGGAAATAGAAAGAAAATAAAAAATGTACAACAAAATAAAAACATTG